TCTACTGTGAAAAAATCGACGAAATGTACCGAAATTTGCGTCTGCAGCCAGCACTTGTCTATAGAAAGGGTCCGATTCTTTTGCATAACAACAGTTTTCTTTCTTTATCGACTGGTGTCACATTGGCAAAAGTGTGCTGATTCGAACGGTGCTTATTTCGATTAAATCCGATGAGTATTAAGAAAGTTATGATCGTTTAAAGTGAAACACTCAAAACGCTGAGAACTTTCCGGACAACCTAATATTTACTAAGCGCAGCTGGGCTGGTCTCGAGCTCAAAGTGCTTGGGGGGGGTCCCAAACCATGCCGACTAGACACACTGCATGCCGACTTGAAAATAACTGGCACCCATCCAGATCAGACATTCAGTGGGAAAAGTGTCACAAAATGCAGCCCGTCACGAAGCGGTATAACCGGCGAGGGAAAAGAAGGACAATGTGCTATATTAAATTTCATTATTTGAGTTTATGTTTTTTATTGGATGGACTCTACTATCATATTTTCACCTAATCATAGGGTCAGTGTTGTTATGATTTGCTGTTATTAGGAGCAGCGAGTCAGAGGGCGAGTCATTTCACATCAAAGGCGTTGTGGAGAATCGTGAAATTCGTTACGGAAGAGGGTTCTAGGACAATGGCCACTGCAGCCATGCTTTTGGGAATTATTGAGGTAAGTGCTCAGTTTTTAGAAATCCTTTTGCTGTTATCTAATGTCTGAAAGGTGATTCAGAATGGTAGTAATCATTTGAAACTGGTCGATCCGAAGAAGTGGTCTGTTGTCCTGGACAAAATTAGCAACACGTTGCTACCGAGACTCGAAACGGAGGTTGATGGAGACACTCTCAGACGAAGCGTTGGGGAGGATACGATTGTATCAAGTCTACGGCATGCCGTGTTGCGTCGACGCTCATCGGGTTAAAATTTTATGGGTACTGTATATTCATATAGAAAAGTGAATAAGTTGTAAGGTTGTCGCGAAGGTCTTGATAAATTCTGTGAGGCACTTACATATGGTCACTTTGATTGATGCCTGAATTTAGAAGAACCCTGATATAGCACATGTATTCAGTACCTACAGTCTCGCTCGCCGTTTAAGCTGGGCGTTTCAGGCTGCATTCATACTTTGCCAGAGCATCCACCAGCTACCATAAGTGTTTCGAGCGTCCGTCAGCGACTAGAAACGTATAGATATTGATCTAGCGAACTACCAGCGTCCCTGCGTCCACCGGCGTATATCAGCGAACAAAAGTACGGTATTGTGCATTTTACGGTGCAGGGGATACGTCATGATTTCGGGATGCCTAGTCCAGCTGTCTCCTCCCTCCTACTTCCCCATACTCTACCAGCCATCTTCCTAGTTTCCCATACTCTATACTCCTGGTCGCCGGTGGGCGCTGGGAGACGCTGATTGACGCTCTCCAAAGTATGAACGCAGCCTCAGGGGATGGGTTTGGCGTGACGCCAGCCCGTTTTCCAGCAATTGCTGTTGCTTTCCTGCTTCAACACTTGGTGGAGAAGTCCCTGCCAAATGTAGCTCCCTGACAGGTCTGTTTAAAAAGATGGCATAACGAAGTAACACATTTTTTTTGATTGAACATAGCTACTGCAATGCTCAAGGGGTAATCCGAGGCTTTCGTGACAACCTAAGACTTTTCGGGCATGCTAGATTGTCCTTTTTTCTCACTCTTGCAAATCGTCCTATTGTGGCTTGTCTGCTCTTATAGTCGTGTTGGTCCCTTGTGTCAGAGCTTTGATTTTCCAAGTGCAATGGGAATAGGGTTTTATTATACATGTATCAAGAATGTAACTAAGTTTACAACGGTGTATCAAGTTCTTAGTATGTATGTTTGAGAGCTGTCAGCATAACCAATTACTAATTTTATTTCATTTATGCTGTTTTTTGGTTGGGCATAACTCACTGTAAAAACAAAAATAAAAGTGATGCTATTTATTCTATTAAATTGTTATGTTGTAATTTTACGAAAACACTGAAGGCTTAGGCACTCACTGTTGTCAGAAGTAATTTTCAAACAATAAATCAAGTTACAAGATGGAAGAGATCGTTTGGGCGTATGAACAGAAAAAGGCGATTCTGCTGTGCTTTCACGTTATCAATTGTTAAAGAGAAACTGGGCATTCACTTCGTTGCAGTACGGTGCCACTTTCTTCTGTCAAAATTGCATGGTAAGGCAGCGTTCAGACTTCGCAGCAGCGGCGCTTCGGTCGCTCTACACTATCGTACGCTAGCGCAAGCGATCGATCGCCGGAACGCGCGACCGAAGGCCGCCGTCGCGAAGTCTGAACGCTGCCTAACGGGGCTGGAGGGTAGTGCCGTCTCCATACTTTGCTCGCTGCCGGACAGCCAGTCACATACATAACTATAGTTGAACGTGCTAGTTTGTTCACGCCCTCTCACTCCTGGTTGTCGACGCAACTGCCTGAGGATAGCGCGGGCGGAGTATAGTGACGGTACCAGGGTGTCACAACCCTCTAGCAGCGCCTTTGTGCAATTTTGAACGGAGAAAAAGGCACGCTACTGCAGACCCATTTTCCTCGCTCATGGAAAGAAGAAAGAAAAGAGAGTACAGACTCAATCTCCGGCATTCTTTCATACGCCCGGCGCGACCTCTATCCTCTCTAAACAGCGCTCCCTTCTAGAGCCGAAAGTACTAGCTTCCCACGAAGAAGCACGCTCGGACATTGTAGCCAGTGGACAAATTTTGTGTCAGGTTCCGGAAGCAGTTTCAGCAGGGGGTTATCTGGTTCGTACGGAACGACCTCGCGACACTGAAGCTGCACGCCAGCCTGGTGAAGCCTGAATGAGGAAACAAGAATTTTAGAGCGGAGAGCCATTTAATTAACAAAGCATTTTGTTGTTGGGAACAATACGGAAGAAGAATGAAGGAATGGAACATGTAAGGTCTACAACGTGAGGCGGAGGAACATAGTGGGAAACCGGGTGAAATGTGATCCAAAGAACATTCTAGAGAAATTGAGAACTGCGGAGTACCTGGCGAATGGCACAGGTAAAGAGGCCCCTATGATCAACATATGCATTGCATACCATGGACCTGGAGAGGGCGTGTCCACGCACCTGCGGTTGGACGTCAGAGCGACAGCGTTTACGTATCTGTAAACCATTCCCGGTTACGGCAGAGAGATATGTCGACGTTCGCATATGGCGTCCGCACTTTCTCATGCCTGTGCCACTGACTTTGTCGGCAGCCGTTTAGAGCCGCTACGCTTATATCTACCCTTTTCATCTTTTGAATATGGACCCATGGCGGATCGTTATCCCTTTTTCGAAATGGTTTTCATGAATGGTGGAAGTCGCACTCAACTTCCTTATTTATTTTATTAACTTTAAGACAATTATATAGGACTTTTGAGGAACCTAGGCGCAAAGAAAAAAGAGGAATTGGCGTTCTGAGGTGTTCACCCTATCAGAGTAGGTGGTCGAAAAACTCTGGAAACGGTAACCGCCGCATTCCTCATAGGCACCAACTACTCTCCGACGTTCTAGGAGG